CCATTTTCCCAGGCAGTCCTGGGACAATACCAGTGCTGTGCCCCCGAGCTGGGCAGGGGACAAAAGCTGGCCCTGGCTCTCACGCTGGGGATCCTGCTGCTCCTCTGCTGTGAATAGGCTCTCCCCTCTTACTCCTCCCTTGCCACAGGTTCAGGGGATGGGTTTCACCTAGCAAAATCCCTCCCCAGCAACCTCAGTGGCCCCACCTTGGTGTTGGAGGTGTCCCACCAACGTGGTCCCCTCGTTGAAACCCTACTGAGCAGGTGCCCCTGCCTGCCCCTGCAACGATGCACTTTGCTTGCCAAGCACCCAGCCCGGAGCCGGGCGCTTTTCCCATCAGCCTTGGGAGCAGTGCAGATGCAGGGGCACCTAGCGTGGTGGGACATCTCCACTTCCCACCCACTTTTACCCATTGTCCTCCTGACATGGCTTTATGGTGGAGAAGCGGCATCCTTCCACCTTTGCATATTGGGGACTGAGGCCCAAAGAAAGCATTTCACTAATGTGCCACAGGAAATTTGTGACTTAGCAAGGTCTCCAGCTCATGAACCACCTTCACTGGTAGATCCTTCATCCACAAAGGGCTGTCCCTTTTTATGGACCTGGAGCACCTCATCGATAGAAATATATGCTGAAAAGAAGGGGTGGAAGCCTGCTATATGAGCATTTCCCCAGGGACCAGTTATTAGGAAGACTTGCATTTAGAAAGACTGATTCTGCAATGCTAGCTGCTGTGGCCAGCGGTAGCTCTTGGAGGGTCCTTGTCTCTAAAAAGGGCTCCAGGGGACACTGGAGGAAGACACATGCAACCCCAGTGATTCCTGAAACAGGGATGGTCTCTTCTCCTTCCCCTCTGCCTGTCTTCTCACTTCAGCTGAAGAGAAAACATCACACCTCTTCCTACTGCAGTAGAGGTATATATTCTACAGCTCTCTCTCCTGCATCTACCTCTTCGTAGCACAAGAGAAGAGATGACACATGGACAGAAAGGACTTGGAAAAGGATATATCAGCAGTCAGTGCTGTGAGAGGGGGCTGGAAATAGGGAAAAAGGTGCTACAGGGAAAGAGATGTCAGAAAGAGGAGGCAGGACAAAAGGAGACAAAAAGCAAGAACTGGAAACAGGCAGAAGGAAGGGAAAAAAACCCCTTCCCTGCCATTTAAATGTGAGGAGACACTGAGACTGCAGATTGCAGAGACTGTGTGGCTGGTACACGCTTCTTTGAGGCTGTCCCTATCTGCAGCTGAGGCACTCACAGCTCTTCCTACAAGGCATAAATGCGACCCGGCTCCTGTCTGGCAGGTGGCAGCAGCCCCTGACAGGGCTGGTGAGCAGTGGGACAAACACCAGTCCAGAGCTCTGTGGGTTACTGAAATCCTTTCTGGGTTTGATCCCTTTCTTGCCCCAGTTGAGAGTGATGGGTCAGACGCTCCTCTGGCTCTTCTGCTCACCCACCTAGACCCTGTGGGCATGCAGGAAGATGTGAGCCCTGCCACTCACTGTCTTGCTGGGGTCAAACACCGTCTCCTTCTCCCCGGAGAGCCTGCCAAGAGGCCGCTGCATTTGGGGTATGAGCTGAGCAGGCTGTGAAGCTCCTCTCAGTGCCCTGTGGGGCTCCTTTGTCTCCTGATTGGGGATCTTCTCCATCAAAGCACCAGGAGGACCCCCAGCCTCTCGCTCCCTACCACTTGGTGTCCAGCACCCTGTATCCCCACTCTGGAGGGAAATGACAAATCCCTGTTCCATCGCCTCTTTCCCTTGGGGTTCACAGGAACCAGCCATCTGAAGGGAGGGCAATTAAACACCCTTGTCTGGCCATTTTCTGTGGCATTCTTCCTCCCTGCCCCAGGTTGGAGGTTGGTTGCAGCCAGGGGAACAAGCAGGGCAGTGTTTCTTGGCAGTGGCTATCTCCCTGTGGGACAGAAGACCAACCCTCCCCTCCCTCCAGTTCTCCCACACCTCATATGCAGGGTCCCTACAGATGGAGGATGACCCTTGCTGGCTGGGGGAAGATGCCACGAGCTCTGCAGCATCATTGATTCTGTATCCAGTGGGCCACGGACAACTTTGTACGAAGCGACCTTGCCCTGTTTTTGTTTTCGCTGGTTATGTGTCTGCACACATTGTCACAACAACCCCATGCAACGCTACAGGCTTGGGGAGGAGTGGCTGGAGAGCTGCCTGGCGGAAAAGGACCTGGGGGTTTTGGCTGACAGCTGGCTGAACATGAGCCAGCAGTGTGCTCAGGTGGCCAAGAAGGCCAATGGCATCCTGGCTTGTATCAGGAACAGTGTGGCCAGCAGGACCAGGGAGGTGATAGTGCCCCTGTACTCAGCACTGGTGAGGCTGCACCTTGAGTACTGTGCTCAGCTTTGGGCCCCTCACTACAAGAAGGACATGGAGGTGCTGGAGCGTGTCCAGAGAAGGGC